AGCATGGCCTGACAAGTGGTGCATCGGTGCACGCCCGGGATCCGAGCCGGCAAACCCTCCGGCTGCCGAAGCGGAGGGCGTGCACTTAACCGCTATGCCACCAGGCCGGCCCCTAGGCTGTGGAGGTTGACCTTTATCATAAGCAGGGGGAGTCATGGAAGGAATGTTTTGCTTGGAGGTGGTGTTGAGATGTTTTTTTCAACATAGAAACTAATAATAGCTAATACTTATGTAGCACTTACTGTGTGCCAGGAACTCGTCTAAGTGTTTTCCATGTACTAACTTATTGAATCCTCACAACAACCCTAGGAGGCAGGTATGGTTATCTCCATTTTACAGATGAGGAAACTGAGGCAAGGAGAAGTTGAATAACTTACCCAAGGTCACACACCTTGTAAACAGTGGAACCAGGATTCACAACCAGGCAGGCTGGGTCAAGACCTTGCTCTGAACCATCACACTAAACTGTTAGTTATTAAAAAGTCAAACAATATGGAAACACATTAAATAAAAAAATTAAAATTCCCACTCATTGCACAACCCTTTATCCCCCAGCCCTTACTTCTTCCCTACACTCCCTCCCAACAATCCCATTTCTCTCCCCAGAAGTAACCCTGGCAACAGTTTTATGTTCGTGCTCCCAGATCTTTTCTTGTATATTTTCATATGCTTATGCACATATGTTACTTTTTATTTTAACATAAATGAGATTGTGTACTCTCTTCTGTGGCTTATTTTTTCACTTAATACATGTGTTAGAGATTAGGCATTTAGGTGATTTCTCATTTTTCACTCTTATCAATGATGCTACAATGAATATAGTCTTTGCCTAAGCATTTAATAGGATGTATTCCTAGGATTAGAATTACTATGTGCATTTAATGGTATTAAGAGGTATGTGCATTTAATATTCTGATAGATACTGCCAAATTGTCCTCTAAAAAGGCAATAATCAAGGTATATTCCCATAGTCTATGAGAATGCTCACTTCCCCATATGCTAATATTGAATGTTACCAGTGATTTTAATTTTTGCCAATCTAATGAATTAAAAAACTGTTATTTCATTTTAATATAAATTTCCTTGTTTACTAGTGAAATTGAACATCTTTTCTTATGGTTGACTATTGATTTCCTCTGTGAACTGTCAGTTCTTAATCTGAGGCTTCAGATTCTCTGCTCATTTTTCAGTTGGCTTATGTGTCTTTTTCTTATTGATTTGTTGGCACTCTTTATGTATGATGTATTAATCGTCCCAATCTTTAGTCATTTTCTTTAGTTTATTATGTCTTCTGCAATTTTTAATTTTATTTAGCTCATACTGGCAAATTTATCCCACTTTGATATATCTGATACTGTCTGACCTCTCTGATCACTCTTGATCTTTGACCTTACTGTCACCTCTGACCCATGACTGTCCTCCGGTCTTCACTCTCCAGAGCCTTCTGGCTTCTGACTCCCCTGACCTCCTTGGCTTGGCCTCCCCCCAGGTTTGTGAATGGGGCAGGTTACTTTGCTGCCGTGGCAGATGCCATTCTGCGAGCTCAAGAGGAGATTTTCATCACAGACTGGTGGTGAGTCGGGGAAAAGCCCAAGCAAGAAGGGGCAGGATAGGGCCTGCAACAGATCAACTTATGGGTCAGAGGAGGGAATGGAAGGAGAGGAGTGGCTGGTTGTCTGGGGCTCAGCCCTCACCCCCTGCCCTGAATCCCAGGTTGAGTCCTGAGATTTACCTGAAGCGTCCGGCCCATTCAGATGACTGGAGACTGGACATTATGCTCAAGAAAAAGGCGGTGAGGAGAGTAGGGTCAGGCTGGAGGGGAGATGTGGTGGGGTTGCCTGTGGGTGGAGATTGGTTAGAAGGGACTGCAGCATGGGGGAAGGTAGGGAATCTGAGGCTTCAGGGGGAAGAAACATGCCCATCCTGGCTTAGTGGCCAGCAAACACGGCCTCCTCCTCTTTCTTAAGGAGAACTGAGACCTCCCTCTTCATGCTCCTCCTCTACCCTCTTCATGCTCCTCCTCTACCTGGTACAGACTTCTCTCCCAGGACCCATTACACTTGTTATGTTACCTGGGCATGTACATGTCTATCTCTCCCACTGGACTGATAATATCACTAGTTCCAGTACAAGGCATGTTGTCTGCCATGTTGGGAGCATCCACAGATGTTAATGGATGGGAGGATGATGGAGAGTGAGTGGGTGAGTGGATGGATGGATGATGGAAAGGGAGATGGATGGAAGGATATGAGGTTGGAAAGGTGGATCAATAGGAGGGTGGGTGGGTAGATAGATGAAGGATAGATGGTAAATAAGGGGATGAGTAAATGGTTGGGAAGATGGATGGATAGATATTGATAGGTAGGTGGGTAGACGTGGCTGGATGAGTGGGTAAGCAGATAGGTGACATTCAATCTAAGTTTGCTGTAAGCATCAAGGTGTGGTGTAAGTGGCAGAGCATCGAGGATCTCCAGGCAATGTGGAGGGACATACAGGAGTCCTGAGCAGGGGGAAAGGTTTGGGAGAGTGGAAGGAGGCTGTTCTGGGGAAGCATTTGGATCTGATTCCCTGATCACCAGGAGGAGGGTGTCCGTGTGTCTGTACTGCTGTTCAAGGAAGTGGAGTTGGCTCTGGGCATCAACAGTGGCTATAGCAAGAGGGCTCTGATGCTGCTGCACCCCAACATAAAGGTGACTCTCAGGCCTCAGAGACCCCTCCCACACTCCAGCCCTCCTCACCACACTTCCCCTTCCCCTCAACGCTCCCTTTCCTTGAACGTCTCATCCTATCTCATCCTTCCATCTTTCCATTCTCCCTCCCAACGCCTCCTCTGTCTTCACTCACCTATGCCCACCCTCATGAACTCCTCCATACCTGCTCCAGGTGATGCGCCACCCAGACCAGGTGACGTTGTGGGCCCATCATGAGAAGCTCCTGGTGGTGGACCAAGTAGTGGCCTTCTTGGGGGGGCTGGACCTTGCCTATGGCCGCTGGGATGACCTGCACTACCGACTGACTGACGTTGGGGACTCCTCTGAATCAGCTGCCCCACAGGTAATCCCCCAAGACCTTCCTGGTTCCCCCAAACTCAGCCAACCTAAATCCACACCCCTTCTCAGCTCCAGCCTCCCCACTCCAGTCATTTCAAGCACTACCCACCCTCAGAGTTCCTCAGCCTTTCTGAGACCCCAAGAACCCGCTTTGAAGATACTATGATCCAGTCCCTTCCCCATTTCCACAACCCCACCCCTCATTCTGTTACTGCCCAAGGGGGGTTGTCTGCCCTCCTCAAGATATGCCAATAGTCAAGAGGCAAGGTGGTAGGAGAGAAAGGGTTTTATTACAGCTTGCTAACAAGGGGGAAGGTGGCTGACTAGTGTTGGAAAGAACCATCTTCCAGAACAAAGGCTACAGGCCAGTTATATAGGGGGCTGGTCTCTGGTGGGGGAAGCATCTGGTCTCCGGGTGGGGCAGACATCTGGTCTTAGTTCCTGATAATCTTTTGTGTTACTGGATATGTATCAGAGACCAGAGCAAGCCTCTGATCTTTCAGTTGTCATTGATGATGGCTATCAGCATAGACTCTCTGCCCAAGGTCATCACATTCCTAAGGAACTCAAGAGAACAAAGCTATTGACTTATAGCAGCTGGGCGGGGCTGTAAAATCTACAGAGCACGTCTATCTCCTGGAGGGTGCATATCCAGCTGGGTTAGTTAATCAGAGGTCATTCAAAGTTACAATATGATTTCTTTATTACCATATGGCTTCCCTTATGTCAACCTTGTGTTGAGCCGGTATCAATTCCTCTAGGGATATCAAATGCAGCTGAAGGGGAGGGCCAGGAAAGCAAACTCTCTGTTTCATTCTTACTCTCTGTGTCTCTCTGTGTGTCTGTCTCACACTTTTTCAGTTTTCCTGTCTTCTCTTTGGCCGTGGTTCTGTATGGCCTCCATGACCTCTCCTTGCCCCTGGCTTGGGTGTGTTCCCCCTACAGCCTCCCACCCTGTGCTCAGACTCTCCAGACACCCCAGACCTCTCTCACAACCAACTCTTCTGGCTGGGCAAGGACTACAGCAATCTTATCACTAAGGACTGGGTACAGCTGGACCGGCCTTTCGAGGGTGAGGTTCCCCCTCCTCCAAAGCCCCCGAGAGTTGGGAGCAGGGGTAGAAGTTGGGCTGGGACTGAGAATGGGATGAGCTGGGTCAGGGATAATGCAGCCTTTCCTCTGGTCAGCTCCTCCTCCTCCTTGTCCCAAGTGTCCCCAAGAAACCATCCCTGACCTCTCGCCTGACTCTCCTGTGTCCCCCAGATTTCATTGACAGGGAGACTACACCCCGGATGCCTTGGCGGGATGTTGGTGTGGTTGTCCATGGCCCACCCGCCCGGGACCTTGCCCGGCACTTTATCCAGCGCTGGAACTTCACCAAGGTGCTCACAGCCACCTGTGGAGGCTGGAGGCTGGGAGGGAGCTAGGGGCAGCTTGCCACCACCCACTGACTCTGGCATCCCTCCACTTCAGACTACCAAGGCTAAGTACAAGATACCCATGTATCCCTACCTGCTGCCCAAGTCCACCAGCACCGCAAACCAGCTCCCCTTCATGCTCCCAGGGGCGCAGTGTGCCACTGTGCAGGTGAGGCTCCCGACTTCAGCCTGCCACCTCCCCCCTTCCTTCAACCCAACACCGCAGCCCACTCTGCCTGACCTGAGAGCCCCCTAGACTCCTCCTCTCCCCGGGTCAGAAACCACATCATATTTGCCATCCCCCAGGTCTTGCGGTCAGTGGACCGCTGGTCAGCGGGGACTTCCGAGAACTCCATCCTCAATGCCTACCTGCACACCATCAGGGAGAGCCAGCACTTCCTCTACATTGAGGTGTGGCTGTGGGGAGGGCGGGACAGGGAATGGAGGGTTGGCCCAGGAAAGAGACTTAGGATGTCAGTGGGATCAATCACCGAGGGCTGGTGTAGCAGGGCGTGGAGCCTGGGGGGCGGGGACACGGCTGGGAGCTGAGGGCCGCGGCAAGGGCAGGGGCTAGGCTGGGCTGCTGATGTCTCTCTTTGGTGCCTGCCCCAGAATCAATTCTTCATTAGCTGCTCAGATGGGCGGACGGTTCTGAACAAGGTGGGCGATGAGATTGTGGACAGAATCCTGAAGGCCCACAAGTAAGGCGGACTGGCAGGAGGGTGGGGACTGTGGGCGTGGTTTAAACCCATCTGGAGAGGTGGGGCTTTGGGGATAGGTCACCTCTGACTCTGCCCCTTCCTCAGACAGGGGCAGTGCTTCCGGGTCTATGTGCTTTTGCCCCTGCTCCCCGGTTTTGAGGGTGACATCTCCACCGGTGGTGGTAACTCCATCCAGGCCATTCTGCACTTCACTTACAGGTGACCCCCCAGCCAGACTCTGCCTCTCAATGGCCCTATCCCACTTGTGTCCCTATCCTGACTCTGTCTTGATCCCTTCCTGCTGGACTTTCGAGGTCCATCTCTCTCCTGACATCCCCATTCCCTCCCTAGCCTCCACCTCCCTCACTTGTTCTTTTCCCTCAGGACCCTGTGTCGTGGAGAATATTCAATCCTACATCGCCTCAAAGCAGCCAGTGAGTGCTGGGGGCAGGGGCATGATCCCTGGACCCCTGGGGAGGAGGAGATGGGGAGCTGGAGGCCCCAGGGGGTACAGGGAAGGAGGCTATCATTCTTGCATGCCTCTGGGCTACTGCCCTGAGACCACAGGTGGGCTTTCACTGCAGGAACAAGTATATAGACTAGGCTCTACAGGGCTTCTGAAGTGAGGAGGGCTCCGTCTGCGCATGGAGGGCACCTCTCACCTCACTCTCCCCACCTCCATCTCTCTTACTCGCAGTGGGGACCGTGTGGCGGGACTATATATCCATCTGTGGGCTTCGCACACACGGAGAGCTGGGCGGGCACCCAGTCTCAGAGCTCATCTATATCCACAGCAAGATGCTCATTGCGGATGACCGGACAGTCATCATTGGTCAGTGCTGGATCTGGGCCCCTGGCAGGGAGAGGAGAGTGGGCAGGGGTGGAGCAGGGCCAGCCTGCGGCAATAGGATGGGGGGCGTGCTGAGACAGCAGCTGAGGCCCAGTTGGGGATGAAGGCCAAAGAAGGTGTGTAGCCCACAGGCGAGTGCTCTGGTAGAGGGGATGGGGTGGGGGTTCTGCTGGGGCAAGGCAGACACAGTGTGTCCCGCACCCACTCCAGGCTCCGCGAACATCAATGACCGGAGCTTGCTGGGGAAGCGGGACAGTGAGCTGGCCGTGCTGATCGAGGACACAGAGATGGAGCCATCCCTCATGGGTGGTGTGGAGTATCAGGCGGGCAGGTTTGCCCTGAGTTTGCGGAAGCATTGCTTCAGGTAGAGTTGGGGTGGGGTGCTATAAGGCAGGGGAAGGTAAAAGCGGGGTCTGCCTTTTGAGCAGGTGTGAGGACTGCTTAGAGGCTGTTCTGGATTTGCCAATAGGAAGACTAACTCAGTTTAGGGTACCAGCAAAGTAGAGATACCAAAAGAAAGAAACAATTTTTTTTTTTCCTGAGGAAGATTCTCCCTGAGCTGACATCTGTGGCCAGTCTTCCTCTATTTTGTATGCGAGCTGCTGCCATAGCATGGCCCCTGACGAGTGGTGTAGGTCCACGCCTGGGAACCAAGCCCGGGCCGCTGAAGCAGAGCGCACAGAACTTAACCAATAGGCCACCGGGGCTGGCCCAGAGAAACAAATATTTTAAAGATAATTTAGTATATATTTTTTAAAGCATCAAAGAAGTTGCCAAAGTTGAGACAAATTAAAGCTCTGTTGGACTCGCTTACACTTACTCTACTGTTTAACATTGTATCTATTTTGAATGGCCTGTGTAGGCATGACACAACTTCAAGTTCTTTCAGGATCTTAATCTGGCCCTGCTGGGACCTCTTTCTCCCCTAGTGTGATTCTTGGGGCAGATGCCCGGCCAGACCTGGATCTCCGAGATCCTGTCTGTGATGACTTCTTCCAATTGTGGCAAGACACAGCAGAGAGCAATGCCAACATCTATGAGCAGGTGGGTGCTGAGGGCGGCTGGGGCTAGGGGAAATTCTTGGCTTATCCTATTCAGGCTGGGATGGAGAGAAGCCCCACCACACAGCCCTTCTTAGAAGGGGGATGAGGGTCTAGGGGGCATATCAAGGGATTCAGTGGCTCAGGGTCAGTGTCGGGGGAATCGGTGTGGGGAGTCAGGGTGTCCAGCCCAGTTGGGCTTGGACTCTTGGGAGAGTCTCCCCAAGGCTTATCGGCTTCCGTGTCCCCCACCCACAGATCTTCCGCTGCCTGCCGTGCAACGCCACACGCTCCCTGCGGGTACTCCGGGAGTACGTGGCCGTGGAGCCCCTAGCCATGGTCAGCCCTCCCTTGGCCCAGTCTGAGCTCACCCAGGTCCAGGGCCACCTGGTCCACTTCCCCCTCAAGTTCCTAGAGGATGAGTCTTTGCTGCCCCCCCTGGGTAGCAAGGAGGGTGTGATGCCCCTAGAAGTGTGGACATAGCTGTGGCTCCACCCAGGAGAGATCACCAGCCACTGGGCTCCGCTGAATCTGGCCCCCTGCCTCCCAACTCTGAGGACTGAGGGCACTGCCCTTTGAGACCTGGGGGAGCAAGCATCCATGGAGGGGATTAGAGAAGTCACAGAGGGCCCTTTCTTGAGAAGAGCCGAAAAGGACACTCCCAACCCTGGGCCGGGGAGGCAGAGAGGGCCTCAGAGAAGTTCATCCTCCCCACTGCCCAGTTCAAACCACTGCCTCAGAGGAGAAGCATATCTCCTGCCAGGATGCCTGGGACAAGCCTCTTACTCCAGAAGGAGTGGGCTCTGCCCTGGGTCTTCCCCATCTCTCCCTTCTTCCTCCTGCCCTGGAACCCCCTCCCTGCCCCAGGGTCTCTCCCAGCCCATTGCTGCTAGGGTAGAGGGAAGGACGAAGCCAAGCCACTCCTCGCTTCAGCTCCCACCGTGGGGAGGGGTTGTAGTGGGGGGTAAACACTAACTCCCTCCACCAGCCTGCTGACAGACACTAACTTTGTATCAATTCAATAAGCATTTCATAAATAAAAGCATAGAAAAGGTCCCTGTGCCTCTCCCTTGCCAAACTGAGTGCTTGTCTCAGCCTCCCCCACACACATAGCACCAGGCCCCTCCACCTTCTCTACGCCCCGCTCCTTTCTTCTTCCTGCTGCTGCAGCTCTGCTCTACTTGTCTGTGGCTTTGGGAGCTCAGTCACCTACCTGCTGGGAGGAGAAGGTCTTCACACAGTGCTTCCTGGGTAGAAGGAAGGCCAGGGCCAATCTGAGACACCTGGAGAACCATGAGGGAGGTACATGGAGAAGGGCCTGGAGGGGCTGCCACCTGTGCCTCAAGTGACACCATGGGAGAGGCTTAGGGAAGCCCCCTTGCGAGTGGTTAGGGTATAGGCTTGAGGTCAGGAAGAACTGGGCCCAAATCCTGGACTTGTCACTTATTACCTAGGTGACCTTGTCAAGTCACATCGCTTCTCTGGGCCTTGGTGGTCCCAACTGGGAAATGGGAATGATACTTAGATAACGGGCTTGCGTAAAGATTCAGTCGCTGACATAAATATTTATTGAACACCTGCTATTTGCCAGACACTGTTCTAGACTCACAGAAGTGAGCACAACAAAACCGCCACCCACGTGGGGCCCTTATGCAAGTATGTCCTGGAGTTTCACTGCCCAGTACAGTAGCTGTTAGGCACATTTGGCTATTTACATTTAAATGAATTAAAATTAGAAATAATTAAAAATGTAGTTTCTCATTTGCACTAGCCACATTTCAAGTGCTCGGTAGCAGCTTGTTGTTAGTGGCTAGCGTATTGGACAGTGCAGGTACAGACCATTTCCATCACTGCACAAAGTTCTATTGGTTGGGGCTACTCCAGAGGGAGAGAGAAAATAAATGGTATAGTCTATGAGAGTGTATAGCACACACCGGATTGAGGAGGGTTACCTCCTAGGGTGAGTGGAGGGAAAGGGATAACAGAGGGGTAGACAGAGCTCTTCAAGTGAACTGGTGACTTATTTCTTAAGCTGAGCAGTGGGTATATGAACATATATATATTCGTATCTTTTTGTAGATCTGAAATATTTTGCAATTAGAAAAAAGTTTAGCACAGGTCCTGGCTCTTGCCCTTCATCCCCCCAGCCTACCTCCAGTCTCAGAATTGACCACAGGAGCAGGAAGAAACGGGAGTACAGTGAGGAGTTTAGGAAGCCTTCCTGTAAGAGGGGTGTGTAGCAGATGATGACGTGGAGAGAGGGGATGCTGGTGTCTTGCCCCGATCCTCTCCTTTGAATCCAGCCCTCTGCACCTCTGAAGAAGCCACTTCCACACAAGAGATCCCCCCTCCCACATATAGCAGTCCCCTGGTACTAATTGGCGTTCTGCTAATTAGCCTCCTCGTCAGCACTACGTGCCTCTTTCCCTAGGGGACCGTTACCTCATTAAGCAAGGAGTGGGGTGGAGGCAGCAACTGCCCCAGGCTGGGTTAGGGGCTGAGTGGGTTTCTGTTTCACGCTGTCTGTTGGTCTGTCTGCCCCCAGCCCCCCTCATTAGTCCTGGAGTTTCTTGAATGGAGGCCACCATAGTGCAGGGGGAAAAGCCATGGGCTTGGAATGAGAAGAATTAGCTCAAGACCCAGGATAAAGAAAGTGAATCCAGCCTGCTAAGGTGGGTGAGGGCAACTAGGCCTGTGCAAAATGTGCATTCATCCCCTAGGGGTCCTCAAATTTGTCTTATTTTTAATATTTTAACTTTTCTTGATGCTTGATCCAGGACTTTCTCCACCATATTATCTCTCTTTAAGTTTTTATTATGGACAATTTCATATTTACAGTAGTCCCCCTTTATCCGTGGTTTCACTTTCCGTGGTTTCAGTTACCCACAGTCAACTGCAGCCCAAAAATATTAAATGGAGGAGGCTGGCCCGGTGGTGTAGTGGTTGAGTTCGCTCTCCGCTTTGGCGGCCCGGGGTTCGCAGGTTTGGATCCCGCCACAGATCTATGCACCGCTCATCAAACCATGCTGTGGAGGCCTCCCATATACAAAATGGAGGAAGATGGGCATGGATGTTAGCTCAGGGCCAATCTTCCTCACACATACAAAAAATATATTAAATGGAATATTCCAGAAATAATTCATAAGTTTTAAATTGCACACCGTTCTGAGTAGCATGATGAAATCTCACACTGTCACACTCTGTCCAGCCCTGGACGTGAATCAGCCCTTTGTCCAGCACATCCACGCTGTACACGCTACCCACCCATTAGTCACTTAGTAGCCATCTCAGTTATCAGACCGGCTGTCATGGTATCAGTGTCTGTGTTCAAGTAGCCCTTATTTTACTTAATAATGGCCCCAAAGCACAAGAATAGTGATGCCGGCAACTGGAATATGCCAAAGAGAAGCCACAAACTGCTTCCTTTAAGGGAAAAGGTAAAAGTTCTCGACTCAATAAGAAAAAAAAAATCACATGCTGAGGTTGCTGATGGTATGCTACAGTAAGAACGAATCTTTTATCTGTGAAATTGTGAGAAAGAAAAAGAAATTCATGCTAGTTTTGCTCAAACTGCAAAAATTATGGCCACAGTGCATGATAAGTGCTTAGTTAAGTTGGAAAAGGCATTACATTTGTGGGTGGAAGACACGAACAGAAAACGTGTTCCTATTGATGGCAACATGTTGCACTAGAAAGCACTGGGCCTATACGAAGATTTTAGCATGGGATCCCTTGAAATGAGTGACATCAAGCCATTCACTGCAAGTGAGGCATGGTTACAGATTCAGGAATAGGTTTGGACTGAAAGAGAGAGAGACTACACATAACTTTTACTACAGTATATTGTTATAGTTGTTCTCTTTTATTATTAGTTATTATTGTTCATCTCTTACTGTGCCTAATTTATAAATTAAACTTTATTATAGGTATGTATGTTTAGGAAAAAACATAGTATATATAGGGTTCGGTACTATCTGTGGTTTCAGGCATCCACTGGGGGTCTTGAAATGTATCCCCCGCAGGTAAGAGGGGACTACTGTATATAAAAATAGAATAGGATAATGAACCCTCATGTATCCATGCATCGGTACTCCAGCTTGAATAATTACTAGCATGAAGCCAATCTTGTTTCTCTACCCTCCCCACCCCCCAAATTACACTGCCTCTTGAGGTTTGGGTGGTCATTTATCCTAACCCTGTGATCTTAATTTGCTTATTCATTAATTCAATATCTCTTTATTAAACACTGCCTATGAGTCAGGCATTAGTAAATTTATTGAAGACCTAGGATATGCCAAGTGCTTTACATACCTAATTTTATTTTACCCTAACCTCCCTGTTATTATTTCTGTTTTACAGATGATAAAATTGAGCCTCAGAGAGATTAATGACTTGCCCAAAGCACTAACTTCAAATTCTATGTTTTCTTCCTATTATACCATGGTCTTGACCTTGAATTACTATATATCACACTGCCTACTCAGACAACAGAGGCCTTCATTCACTTAGGTATTACTGAACCTCTAGTGGGTTCTAGGCCCTGTGCTGAATAAGAGTGACATAATTCCTGCCTTTAAGATGTGACAGACATTACAATTCAAGTGTTAAATGTTACCATGGGTTTAAGCCAGGCAGCTAAAACAGAAGAGCCAAACTCAATCTTAGTCAAGGAAGATTGGGTCAAGGAAGACTTCATGGAGGAGATGATTTAGACATGTAGTACAAAGCAAAGGGCAGTGAGAGTGGGCATGGTCAGAATATTCCAAGGAAAAGAAACAGCAAGTGCATAGGCTGGAGGAGGATCTGTTGAGTTCCGGGCACTGTGAGGAGAGGATTTCAGCATGGCTAGAACATGTGAGGTTGAATGGTGGAGTACTGAAAAACAAGGCAGGAGAAGCAGGCAGAATCTTGAAGGTCTTTGATGCCACACTTGAGACTCTACTCAAAAGACAGTGGGAAGTCAGTGAAGGGTCTTAAACAGGAGAGTGACATCAGATTTGAGTTTTAGAAAAATCACTCTGGGAATGGCGAATTGACTTAAGAGAGCCGGGCAGGGAGACCAAGCAGGAGGCTGATAAGAGTAATGGAGGTGAGTGGGGACTGTGGCTTGGATAGGGTCAACGGCAAGATAAATAGGAAGAGAGGGAAGCAAAACTGGATGTGCATGTGAAAGTGCTAAGGAGAAGGGTCCAGACATCTCATTCAAACTCTCCTAAGTGATCTTTAAGGCTGGTGGTGGGGTCTTTCAGAGATAGTACTGTTGCTCGAAGTGATCTCAGGGATCAAACAGCCTTCTCTCTCAACCTCACAGTGAAAGAAAAGCCCAGAGAAGCAAAGCAACTTGCTCAAGGTCACACAGCATGTCAGTGGTAGAACATGACTCCCTGTTCTTTACATAGCATTACTCAACCTCTAGTGAGGCTAGTGGCTGGGGGTGCTATGCCAACATGACTAGACCTAAGGTGACCCAAGCAAGATTTGAAGGGGTTGGACACAGATTCCTCCTCTTCCCCTCCGCCTCTCCCTGCCACCCCTTTCCCCACGCGCAGCTCGTGATCAGTCAATGAATAATTGTTGAAACAGTTCCTTTGTGCAGAACAAGAGGTGCACAGATACAAGTCTGCGGGAGGATTTCCTATCCTGAGATCTGAGAGCCCCTCCTCAACACTCCCCACTCCAGCCAGAGAAGGGGGTAAAGGGCATTCCTGAGGCAGCCAGTCCCCCCTCTCCACTCCCCAAATCCCAAGTGGTTTCTACAGCCAAGTTCTCACGGAGAGGCCCCTCCCTCAGTGGCTCCACTGTTGCCATGGCAATTAGGTGGGTGGACAGCCCATCCTATCTAGAGGCCACCCAGCCCTCGCGTGGGGAGTTACCATAACAACCCCCCTAGCAATAGAGGGGGTTGGGTCCCGCCCCCTTCCCCCGCAAATAGAGAGGTGGGTGGCTTGATTGGCAGCTGGGCAGACGAAAGAGGAGGGAAAGGGAAGGAAGGCGTCAAAAGAGAGCTAAGAAGGAAATAGGGGAGAGAGAGGGCAAAAAATAGGCGACGGGAAGGA